TTTTTTTTTTTTTTTTGAGACAGAATCTCACTATGTTGCCCTCAGTAGAGTGCTGTGGCTTAAACTCTTGAGCTTAAGTGATTCCTTTGTCTCAGCCTCCCTAGTAGCTAGGACTACAGGTGCCCACCACAACAGCTGACTATTTTTGTTGTTGTTATTGTTGCAGTTGTCATTATTTAGCAGGCCTGGGCTGTGTTCAAACCCACTAGCTCCAACGTATGTGGCTGGCTCCCTAGCTGCTGAGCTACAGGCGCCAAGCCTAGAGAAATAAATCTTCAGAAAAGCTGTGTCCCATATGCCTCTGGCACCACTCCATTCCCAAGCACTCTTGTCCATGCCAGCACCAGTCCTATAGGTGTGCCCTGCAGAAGGGACAGCCACAGCTCTGCTGGAATCTCCCCTCTCAAGAGGGTGCTCCAAGTCTCCTTCCTCTCTGGCAGTCCTCCTCAGTGCCCACTGCAGCCTCGTCCCCCCAGCCCATCCCTTAAATGCCAGTGTCCCCAGAACCCTGTCCCAGATTCCTTCTCTTCTCTCTACACTGTCTTTGGCAGGCTTACCTAAGCTGGGGGCTTACATTGTCATCTAGATCCCTGCCTTCAGCTCTTAGCCTCTGTAACTGACGACCTGTCTGAATGCCCGTAGCTGAGGGTCCTGTCGGCATCCATAGTTTGGTTTGGAGGTAATGAGTTTGAACTGACTGGGCTGGAGGGCGACTGGGCATTAGATGAGAAGGGGAAAGGGAGGGGCATCCCCAAAATGGAGAGAATGCATCTTCAGGAGCAAGCAGTAGCCAAACAGGCAGAGCCTTACCAGCCGTGGCGAAAATTCTGTCTTTACCCAAGGCAATGGGAAAAAACAAGGGCAAGGGTACTAAGGGAGGTGGGTGCCAGCCGTGAGCAGATTTGTCTATAGACAAGCTTATCACAGCGGCACCCGTCGTCCAGCTTAACTTCCTCCCACACAGCTGCAGTTCAGGCCTCAGTCTGATCTCCTGATGCAGCTGTAGTCATGTCGGGTGCCTCCGGGAACCAAGAGGGACCGGTCCTGGGTCTGAGCAGCGACCAGCATGAGGGGCCCTGCCAGAAGCCCAGCACAGGTGCCCCAGGGAAGCAGAGGACAGCTCAACAGGGCTTAGCAGATCACAGACATTAGCGGTGAGTGCAGCTGGCTCTGCCCCTCTGACTCATACAAATCTCCCCCAGTCAGGCCCACAGTTCCTCATCCATTAAGGGCGGATTAAAGGAGTGGAAGTCCCGGAATTCTGCCACCCCAGTAAAAGAGAGATTTAAATTCCACTGCCACTGAGGGTCCAGGATTTTTTTTAAGGGATCAGTGATTTAATCACTCAGGCCCCTGAGATGCTGGGCTACTGACCATGAGCTGGGCGCTCCCCATTCATCCTCTCACAGAGGTGGCAGGCTGCAGCACAGCTGGCCCCCAGACCCCAGGCTCTGAGCCCACCCCAACAACCAGGCTTCTAATCCAGGCTCGGTTTGAGTCGGTGGTGAGAGAAGAAACAGGTGTTCACAGAGCCTTTGGAAGCTGGGCTGGTGTCACCGTACTGTGGTTTGTTTGGCAACAACAGCAGCTATAATAGCCATGGCCAGAGGCTCACACCCCCCAGGCACAGGCCCTGAGATGTGGCTTCAGACAGACCCCACTCCACTGTTACATCAGCCAAGAGACGGTTTCACCATCACTCTCTTCAGCTGAGAAACTGGGGTTCAGAAAGATCAGAAATCTTGGAGGCACAGCCAGAGGTGCCCAAGAGGTACCCAGGAGGCAGCAGCTGGGGAAAGAAGGGGGACAGAACTGCAGGGGCTGAGACCCCTGGGCCAGGTGGGGTCTAGGGGCAGGGCCCAGACTCCCACAGCTGGACTATTCTTCAACCTTGGGGGACAAAGGACAGGAAGCCCACACTCAGGCCCCACTCAGGCAGCAGCAGGAGTGGGAATAAAGTAGGGAGGCCAGGACACAGGGAGAAGAGAAGGAACTGACAACAGCCAAGAGAAAATGGACTCACTCAGCAGCCACTGGGCAAATGGGGACACAGGATCAGAGAGCTGGGGCCAGGCTTTGCGAAAGCAGCCTCCATGCAAAATAGTTGTTTTGTGTGAGTGTCTGTGTAGCCAGGCTGAGGCAGAAAAGGCTTCCAGGTTAGGAGAGGTCCTGATATTGTGTGTGTGAGAGAGAGAGACTGAGTGTGTGGGGGAGAGGCAGTGTGTGCGTGTGACCATGAAACCACACATGTGACATGTGTGAGGATAATTGAGTCTGTATGTTTGTGTGTGAACAGGGTTCTAAGGAGATAAAACGCTCTAAAACCATAATCATAAAGTGTCAAATCATTTCATTCCTGTGTATTAGCACAGCTTAACCCCTGCATGTCAACAGGAAAATGCTGGCTGGAATTTCCCCGGGAAGAACTCACAGCTCTGTGGCTGTCCAGCCATGTGTACGCTCTGGCTGATGCAGAAAGGCCTAGAACGCCTTCGCTACCCTTTTTCCTCACCTCAGGCCACTCCGTACACGTGTTCATCTTTCCCACTTTCACACCTCACAGGACGAATTTCAAGAAACTCTCTTTACCCTCAAGAGTCAGACTCCGTCCCTAGGCTCACACAGATGTCCAGGGTGCGAAACCGTGGATCCCTTTTCTGTAGAAAAGTGACAGAGATGCTGTGACAGCCCCAGGACTCACGCTGAACCTCAGCGGTGCTCTTTAGACACTTCTCCTGCAGTCTTGCCAAGCCACCTGTGGGCAAGCCGTGCATCTTGCCCGCGCCCTGATCCTCTGTTTCCACATCTACACAACGAGTCAGTGCAGACCTTTCCCAAGGTGTACTCTGCGGAGTAGGAAGCCCACAAGGCAGTCCAAAAAGAATGTGGATTTTCTGGCAGTTTCTGTTGTTATTTCTGAGGAACACTACATAACTTATCCCCCTCTTCAAGATTCACTAGCAGTTCAGCTGTAAAGACATTTGTTTAAAATGGTCTAAACCAGCGTTCCTCAAGCTTCTGTGACCCTGGAATCCCCTGTTCACAAAAAACCTATTCACATTTCCCACAGTCATTGCTCAGGGGAGCTGTTGGACCAGATGACCTCTGAGGTCCTCTCCAGCTCAGCAGCCTGTGATCCTGGCAGCACGAACAGGGAAGCCTTTCAGAGCAATGCCTCCTTCTCAGCATTTCTTTCTGGCCGAGTAGCTGGGCCTAGAGCGTATCAGCAGTTCCCAGAGCAGGAGTCTCCCCTGGGGTGCTGCAGGGAGAGATTGTAGCTCCTAATTATATTTAGGTTTTTTTCTAAAAATAAGGATGCAGTTGAGCTTTCCATTAATATGTATATTTATAATAGTACCTATGTGTAATTTGAAAGTCACTGTATATATATTGAAGGTACAGTTTCAAAAAATTGTCATTGATAGCAGTGATCAAAATGTTTGGAGACCACTGACATAAAAAACGTGCTTCGTTAGCTTACATTCCAAACCCTGGTTTACCCCGTGCTCGACAGGAGGGAAGGGTGACGCATGTCTCACACGGCGTGACACCTCAGCTGCTGGCTCTTTCTCCTTAGCTCCATGTGTAGCAGTCCTTACGTCTACCTTGGGCTTGGAGGATTATGCTTTATACATCAGTTCAAAACAAACTTACTGAGGAAATTAGATTTGTAATGAAATGATTTTGAATGCAAATTCTGAGCCTGACCAGTCTTTCTCAGAAACATCTTCATTACATCAGGAAATGGCACTGTCATCCACACACACATTTCTGATAATCTCGCAAATCTCAAACACTTATGCTAAGATTCAAAGCAATAAAATGAAACCCAATACCATTATAAAGCTTTTTCCCTATCAAATAATTTAAAGAAGACAATTTCTTTTTTTTTTTTTTTTTTGAAGTTTTTGGTCAGGGCTGGGTTTGAACTCACCACCTCCGGCATATGGGGCTGGCACCCTACTACTTTGAGCCGCAGGGGCGGGCCAAGAAGATAACTTCTGATTATGTTTTTTCTTAATAGTTCAGCCTAAGTTCCTAGATACAGTTTCCTCCCAAATGCTTGAGTGTGATATTTAGCAGGTCACCTCTGGTCCCTCTGGGCTGTAATCCTCAGAGACAAAGGAGCACGATTGGAGAAGCATAAATAATCTTTTGCTTAACTCGCTAAGTCTTTATGTGTCTGCCTCAAGTCAGAATGCTCTGGCTGGACACAGGCATCAGGCTGAAGGGCTTAACCCCATCTTGTCTCGCCCTGGATGCTTGTGACAGCAGAGCACTTGTGCCCAATGAGGACTCTAAGTGAAGAGGAGGCCCCTCTACCTGTGGCTGGAAAACGGGTTCTCATAGGACAACAGAAGGATGCGATGCCTGGCCCGCCTGGGAGCGTCTCACTGCCATGGCCACTGCACAGAAGGACACCTCCCCACCCCACCCCACATCGCCCCATCACTTTACCTTGACTTGGGTACTTCCAGCTGCCCTGGCCATCTCTTCCTCTTGGACTTTCTGCTCTCCACGAGAACCATCAGGCAAAGCAAGAACAAAATGAGTCTTATAAAATAAGGCATTTTTGTGGACGTCTATGACACAAGCTGCTTTCCAGTGACCTACGGCGGGGCAAATCCCCCTGGCTTAACCATGGATCCAGTCTGCTGCCTCCCGACGGTGCTGCTCGGACGGGCTCTGAGGGCATGACTGGCAAGGCTGATTGTCCCGACTCACTACTTAATGCTGACGCCTGTCCCGCCCCCAGCCCCCACGCACCAGGTGGTGACATTGACGCCAGGCTCGGCCTCCATGCTGCTCAGTGATTGGCTATTAGTCAAGAAGTGTGTCCTGTGAAACTCTGCTTCCGCTCCATCCTAGAATAGCTTGGGCTAAAACTGTTATATAAAAAAAAAAAAAAAAAAATTAAATCTCTTGAACATGCCCGCTTTGTACTGAGATTATTAATTCATCTTCCGGCTGCATAAAACCAGTCTGTCCCAACCCCCGTGAGTCAGCTAGGATTCTGAGTGGACGTGCAGAGAAGACTTGCTGGGTGTGGGGTGAGTGCCTGAATATGTCCAGGCAATGCTGAGTAAACACACAAAGGACAGGTTTTCTTGGGGTAGCTTTATTTCCAGATCTAAGAGAATGTGTGTTTTGCCTATGGCCAAAGATAACTTGCTTTTCTCTCAAACACAATCTTTTTTTCTTCTCAGTGAAAACATATCAAGGCATAAAGTACATTTTTATTTTGAAGGATGGTATAAAACCAAAGAATTTGCGGTTGTGTAAGGATCATTCTTTTCCTTTGTTCCATTTGGGACAAGCCTATAGAGTACTGGCTGTCACCAAGGACTGTGCGTGTAGATCATCAGTTTTCAAGAAACATTTGCTTTGCTAGATTCTAGGTACAACTTTAGGCCCTATCAATTTTTTATTTTAAAGCTCTCTCTTTTTTTTTTTTTGAGATAGAGCCTTAAGCTGTCACCTTGGGTAGAGTGCTATGGCGTGATAGCTCACAGCAACCTCCAACTCTTGGACTTAGGCAATTCTCTTGCTTCAGCCTCCCAAGTAGCTGAGACTACAGGCACCTGCCACAATGCCCAGCTATTTTTTGGTTGTAGTTGCTGTTGTTTGGCAGGCCCAGCTGGATTCGAACCCGCCAGCTCTGGTGTATGTGGCTGATGCCTTAGCCACTTGAGCTACAGGCACTAAGCCAAAGCTCTCTTATTATCAATAGGTCAATTGTTATGATTACAACTAGGAGAAAACCATACTTGGATGGCATAATTTTTTAAATCACAACTGTGTTGAAATATTCACACAACCATAAATTCATCTCTTTTTTTTTTTTTTTTT